GATTGATCGCGTAGACTGACGGCAGGTGTCTCGCAGTGAAATTGGTCACGGGTAGCGAAGCGTCAATTTGCTTAAATGTTTCAGGTAATAAATACGCCATTGCGCTAGCGGGTCCGTGTATTCGTTCGCCAAGTTCTGGGAAAGCCATCCCATTCTTTCACGTTCATTACAATTAGGGAGAAGAGCTAAGACTGTCATTATTGGTGAAAAATCTCGGTCACATGTATCTAGTTCACGCACGTCCCTCACAATCATATTTTTAACATAGAGCACACAAGGACTTATGGGAATGAATTTCATAGAAGGAAACACTTAAAATATGATATAAACAGTTGTTTTTTGTTGAACATTTTTATCATTTTATGACATTAAATAAGTTAAAAATTAATTATTTGTAATAATAAATATGTTCTTAGAGGAAAATCCTATATTTAAGTGACATAAAATAATTATACTTAACACGAATTCCACCTACATCACTTCACTTTATGACAATTCTTTATTTCTACAACAAATAGCAATAAATTGACATAATTTAAATATGAGGATATCAATTTTTTTTAATTCACGAACACAACATAAATGTAACAAATACAGAACATCAGTGCTTTCTTGTATTTTGATGCTTGCATTATAGTCAATCACAATGTTAATGCTACATTTTGACAAGTAGTACTGTACAAATACGCAATAAACACAATTCAAAATTATTACAATGTATTGGCAAAAGCAATACAAAAATACATTTTATTCAACATGAAAAAGGGACCCTGTCATAAACACACCAGAATATAATTAAATTACATTTTTACAGTGGCACCCCCAGCCTTGAATTATTTCAATTTGAGACTTTTAATTGCCTCTTTCTTTATTACCATTTATTAAACCCATTGTTAATTACCTGAGTGAATTACATTGAATTTTTGGCAGGAATAAAATTGTTTTATTTCAGATACTTATTTAACAAGATTTTTCTTCCTAGATTCCGGTAAAATTTCAAAATTACTTAAAAACGTATTTGTTGAAGAAAATTTAAATGATAATTTTTCTCAAATTTGAGGTAATTGTATAAAAAATTACTTCATACATCGTAAACTATTTTTCACTTTAAAAACTCAAATCCTGCATTTGACATTGAACATAAAATATGCTGCTAGATTAAAAAGATGTTATTAAAACTTTATTTTGCAGCAAAATGAAAATTACTACTATACTAAAAGACAACTACTAATTACTTTTATTGTGTAAGCTTTTTAAAATTTATTTAAATAATCCAAACAAAAAACTCGATATGAATCTAATATGTAATACAAAACAATGTAATTACTGCAATCATGATGTAAATTAAACCTAAAAATCACTGCCAGTTAAACTGATTTAATTTTTGGAGTCAAGACTAAGTAAAACCCCAACTATTTAAGGCTGGTATTTTTTTAATAATAATACAAAAACGTAAAAGACAAAAATTTCCGAGGAATTTGTAACTGAACCTCTTGCAAATTTCTTTAAAATATTTTATAAATTCTTAACTTCTCTTCCTAATCAACACTGTAATTAACATTTCATTTAAAACTCACAAAGAACAGTTTAAGAATTATTTTTTCAAAATTATGGAAGTTTGCATTCAGTTTCTCAGCATATCTGGCTTGTAAAAACAAATTTTGCACTTCCGTATACTAGACAAACACAAGTTTTTTATATATACACAAAACCCGTGTTATATGTACACAAACACACGATTTTGCAAGGTCATTACCAAACTAATTTCTTTAATATTTTCTTATCGTAAGCATCTGACAACCCAACTAAATGACAATTCAAACGGAAAAGTGAATAATGAAAATTTTCCATTACCTTTATGCAATAATCCACTTTATATATACGACTCTCTGCAATCATACTATCGCTATTGTATTTCATCACTCACGTGTAATTTGATCCAAACATATTTTTGGCATTTACACTTGTATTCACTTTTTGCTGCACAGTTACAACTCGCGTAAAATGGCCAACAACATAAAATAAATACACGAAATAAAACCGAATACACAAAAGAATACACCAAAATTCGCTCCCATGAAAGAATTTAGATTTACATAATTTCTATTAAAATACATTTACTGGTTTGGGAGACATATCATAATGTATAATGAATATTAAACTTACTTCCTTGAACAGGAATACTTTCTTGAAATACCTACAATTTGTTCGATGGATATATTTTCCCATTGAGTTCACCAACACTATATACAAAACCTTGATTTCCAATTGCTTTCAGCCCTTCTCTACAACAAAAACATAAATACACACATAAACACATAATTTAATAGAACTGTAATAAAAATTCAGTATTAATCAACAATGCAAATGTTACGACATATGTAACTTGCCATTTCTCATTTCTTGGTAATTTGTTGGGTCGCACAATTTTTGGCTTCGAATTTGTGCAATTAGGCACCCAGCATTTTTCGGCAGCCGTAATCCACGATTTGCAGTGAAGAGACATATTAAATTATGAACCGTAAGTCAGTTTTCGTAATTCGAAGAAGTTAGCCGCACTCACAGACGCACGTGGTCACACATGCCCGCCTGCATTCGCCGGAGACGTCCAAAAGAAACAAACCATCCCAGGCAAAAGGATGGTTTGAAACGAATCACCGCCGTCTTGGAGATGTTCAGAAGTATCTAGTGTCGCCGCAGCGTTGTCAGATGATTAAATGTTATACCAACCTCCAAAAATTCTGGTACTTTCAAAATTCCTGGTACCAATGGCAATCGATTTAAATTCTTACATTGTTCATTATATAAATTTTATGTTTTTAACGCACACAGAAAATCTATTAAACTTAACTCGTTAAGGATTCATTTTATATCTGTAAATTATTATCCGTGCACGTTTTCTTGAGCCTTCGCTTCGCCAGTTGAGAGAGTGGGGTGTTTGGTTATTTTGACAAAAAGATTTTTATATCAAGTTTGTAGTTCGTTTTTCGATGAAAAATAGTTTCTATTACAAGGGAGCAAACTATCCATCTAACGAATTTCGTCTATTACGGTCGTTGCTATCATTTATTCTTAATGTAACTAATGTTGATAAATGGTGGGGTTAGGTATTGCGAGGCTCAAGAAAACGTGCGCGTATAATAATTGGAAGACTGAGACGTTTTAACCTTTCCTACTGTAGCATGTGCTAGAACAAAACATCGTATGTCACCCTTAATGTTTTTAGAGCAGTGAGTTTTCCAATATTATAGATATTTGTAATATTGGTGTTAGACTTAAATTATTGTATACAAAAATATTAAATCAATCTTAAATCGTATATCATCCATTACCGTATACCTAATATCCTGGTATTTAAACGTACCAGGATGTCTTCATAAAAATCCTGGTAAAAGTACTAGGATCCTGTTACGTCTGGCAACACTATGTCTCCATTCAGATTTCAATGAAGAACGGTGAATCGCCTACACTTCTATTAAAACACGAAGTCCTTTCAAGTTTACGAAATGAAAGAGGAGGACACTGTCATCCAATGAGGAGCTCCAATACAAAGAAAAGAAACGAAACTCGCGATTCGATAACGATGTCCCCCTCTCCTGCCAGCTCGTATCATTGAAAGGACTTCCTGTTTTAATTGGAGTATATCTAGTGGCACACACGCGGTTTAGGCAGGTAGGGCCCTCAGACTAAAGGACACGCGAGTGACCTTCAGAACAATTTGATTCACTTACTGGCTCTTTGCTTCTGTTTTCTAGTACGCTGTGAACTGAATCGCCTTCATTTTGTCCACGACCTACCGAGAAGAACATTCAGTGTTTCATCTAATAGCATCTGCAAGTACAGTTTTGCAATATAATTATTTTTATTCTGAACTCAACAGTTGTCAGAATAAAAAAGTACAAGTATTCCCGTACATACAACGTACTTTCAGAAATTCACGAACACAGGATATATTTTATAAGAAAAACCGTCAGGACAACCTAGATCATAAACAGTAAATTTATAAACAAACGGATGTCTCTTGTAATACAAGGAAGAAACATGTCCTTCAGGTATATTTAGAAATGTCTGCAAATCATAACAGGCTGTTACACATATCCATGCAATTGCAACCAATTTGTCTTTACCTTTCTCTTCGCTGTTCTTTAATTTACTGTGCATTTGCTTTTCATAACTGTTTTAAGCAGTTCTTTGCCATTTGATGATGCAAGTTTGAATGTTGCACATTCGCTGCACTGATGAGGCATAAAAACCAATGTTGTAATCTTCATTAAAATTTTGAGAGGATATTGCAAAATTTTCCCTGATTTCTTTTTAATTTTACAGCCTACCAGATACTCTATGTATAGTAGGTATAGTAAATCCTCCATCAATCTGCTTGTTTGTTCCCGCAAATAGTAAGTTTCCATTGAGAAAATGAAACAATATGATTTCTAATATTATTCCTAATTTTATTTTCTATTTTTTATGGTTCCCATGCCTCCCTTAGTTACACCACCAATAGCTGTCTTCCTAACAGCTGACCTGACCGAGCGATCTCCAATATCAAGGGTTGACACTCTTCGTTGTTGAATTGAAGGTAATATGTCCTGATTAGTGCCCTTCAACTATTTTCTACCTTATGTCTGTATGCAGACCTAATTTCATCAGTGTGGCTTGCTGTAAACTGCTTTTGACAAGGAATATCATCTAACTGGTAGAAGTTCTTTAGAGCAACATTTCTGTGTCCATCACTTACTTTGGTTTGCATCCAAGTTTACAATTACCACTACATAGTGATTTACGTGTCCTTGCTAGTACAAATTTACCTGCATTGTTGATAAATTCGTCTCCTGAATTTCGTTTCTTCTTTGCGGCATTCTTTTTCCAGTACTGATTTTACGTTACGCTTCTTTGTATTGTTTTCTAAACAGTTATTAACTATAAGATAATTGTTTTAAAATACATTTGTCATGAAGTACAAGCATGCACTATAGCTTAGAAAAACTACCAACATACCGTGATTAACATTATGTCATTATGACCAAGATGCTTTTCTGCATATCTTCTTAAGTTTTTCTTTCGAAAATGAGCCTCATCAAATTTGGAACTAGAATCGTGTTCACAATGATATGTTTTATCAACATCAGAGTCATCCAAAATACCTTCTTCTATTTTTCGTAATGCAGCTCTCCGTATATAATAGGCCTCTTTGAACTGTTACATCTAATATCAATAACCTGAAAGCGGCATTGTTTTATCTTAATACGTGTTTTAATAGTCAGCATATCAAACAAAATAAAAGGTTTTCATTAATAGTACCTTGCTATACATAACTATGTTATTTACAACAGGCAAATATAGAACTATGAATTTACGCCTAACATAACCCATATTCTAAATTCACTTACCTCTACTCCAGTTACTTTTGGTTTTTCATCATTACCCACAAGTCCACTGCTTCTCGCGTTTATTCTTTCAAGACCTAATGAAACAATTATAGCATCTCCAGAGGACGTTTCAATCAGATTACTTATGTACTCTTAATAATGTCCAACACTTCTGAACAGTCAGATAACTCACACAACAAACCAAGATGGCTGCCACTGCAACTCACACTGCAACATGGCTGCCAGGAACAAACACACTGCTATATCTCGAGATGTGGTTATGCATGCGATGTGTATTAGAAAAAAGCCACAATTAAGGTATGACACTCTTCTATTGTTTGAATAGTTCAGTGTTAGAGAAAAATTAAATTACCAACAGAAAATTGCAATCTTTACGAGTTAAGTTGTGGCAGTTTTCCAGGACACGTACTTCATCAACAGGCAGTTGTATTTAGTGAACTTTCAGTTTTATCACTGGTCTCGATTCACGTAGTACATTACAAATAAACACTATGATGATTCGGTTAAAGTGAACACTCCTCATCGGATACAATGAACACAGAAAATCGCAACTTACTGAATGGATAGAAAGAAGAAGAAGAAGAAAAAAAGAACCTTTGCCTCAGGATCTGAAATTTTTATTAAGAGTTTGTACGTTTCGTGAGTTACTTTTCAGCGAATGAAAGTGTGCAAGGGAACATACCACTGACGACACAGGAATCGATACAGGAACGACACAGACCATATATAAAGCAAGAGTTTGAGTAGTACAGTGTGGCTGAGTTTTGGTTCTGTGCTGTGTGTAATTTGGAGTTCAAGTACTTCTCTAGTATTTGTAGCTGAAGGTAATGCACGTTTTATTACCGAGTTTGCATTAGTGTATTTATTTGAAAGGTATAATACGTTTCAGTAGTGTTTCAAATATAATACATGATTAATAAAAGACGAAGGCTTTTAATCTAATTTTCATGCATTTATAATGTGGTTTATTGGATAGTTTTTTATCTCTAATGTTTAAATTTATTGACTTCTTTTACTTTAATAGGTTTCACCGATGATTATGGAGTATTATCACAGAAAAGTTGGGGGCTCTCTCTGAAGTAATTAAGGTAAGCTTGTCTGAAATCGAACTTTCTTTTATGTATAATGTTGTACTGAGAATACTGTCACAGTTATGACTAATCATAATTGTTTTAAAATTTTGTACATACGTATTTAAAATAATTGTACATAAGCAAGAAATGTTGTTGGTTGCCGAAATAAATATAAATCACAGCCAGGCCATGTCACTATTTTTAAAACATCCCATGATGTGAAGGAACCAAGGGTGGATCCTGCCGATCATTTTGGGAGGCCATCACATGTTTTTGTTAATAATAAACATTTGTTATTATATTTTATATTATTTTTGTAGTGTATATATCATACTACATAATATTATTTTTAAATAATTACATTATTCTAACATTAATAAATATTTAAATCAATTTTGCCAAATAAAAGAAGTTGACCAACAAAAATTCTAGGCCGTTGTCCCCCAACGGGGGGCATGGCTCCCTCCTGGATCCGCTGATGCAAGGAACCGTAAACAAAGTTCTTTCCACGTGCCAATTGAGATTTTTTCTCCAAATGCTGTTGTATGTAACAAGCCTTTCAGAGAAGAAGACATTAGTTGTGCGGAGCCATATGTTGACAAAAATTGAGACAGAAGAGAAGTGTTAAAAAAAATCCAGTACCTCGGTTATTTCCTTCCCTTCTTCATTACATGAGAGCCAATGGTAAAGCAATGAAGCCAATGGCAACAAAAAGAACTTGCCCTAAAGAAAAAAGAGAGAGCAGAATTCTGAAAGATTGATGAAACAATATGATGCTTTTTTAAACATGATTTCAATGATCTATCAAACAAGTTTCAGAAGAAATTGTTTAGTGACAAAGTGGATAATGGAAATAGTTTAGCGTTTATAGTGAATCAAAATGTATTGTGGTTACACAGAGTGATGCCTCTACCGAAGTCCTAGATAATTTCAAGCATTTGTATTGACAACGAATTGAATGTGATGGAGTGTGTAAATAGTTACATTGTGCTTAAAGCAGGGTTGCCATCTGCCCTCCATTTTACTATCTCGCCTTACGAATTCTTCGTAAGAAGAGAAAGCTACTTAATAGTGCCCCAGAAAACGCCGAAATTTCGCCAGAAAAACTTATTTCCGGGTTGTGGTAACGAAAAAATGGAAAAATCTTGTAGCTAAAAAGAAAACCTCTAACTCGTGGTGTAGCCAGAATCCATGTTTTGTTGGTTCTTGATACCGAAAAATCGATTGACGGCAAATCGTCCGTCTGTGACCAACGTTAGCGGCTAAACCGTTCAGCCGATCTTCTCCAAACTTGAAATCCACCAATCGATCTGGCTGATGATGGGGAGCCTGGAATTGGAGACCGATTTTAGGGAGTACTTTACATAAAGACCCTCGGATATTTTCAAAATTTTCCAAAAAAGTCTCCAAATGTTTTGATTAAAGTTTATTGTTGAATAGTGAGAAAGACGCTTACGAGAATGGTGCATGTCTCATATTCGGTGATATTCCAATTTTCAAAAATTGGAAAAATAATTTAAATTTTTTTAAATTTACAAAACAAATTCTAAAATTTTGCTCCAATTTTTTTCTTTAAAATTTCTCCATATATGTAATAAGGGGCGGTAAGAAATTTGGTGCTACTCCTATTTTCGGGTATTGCTCCATTTTCTTGAAAATTGCAAAAATAATTTTTTAAAGTACAAAATTAAAGATAGATTTTTAGCTCAGACAAAGACTGTTGTACAAAATTAACTCTTTAGAAAAGGACATGTACTTTTCTTTTTGAAAAACGATTAGTTCTAGAGTAATGTGGGCTTGAAATTTACAAAACTTTTGGTTTGAAGCTGTTCTAACTGCAAATAATATTAAGATAAATTTTTAAGAACGCTGAAATGCAATTTTCTCAAAAATGGCTCCACATTTTCTCTTCAAACTTTTCCAATAGATAGAGCTAATTGTACTGTTTAATATGACAAAAAGTTTATTTCACTGTATTCTTTTGTGTTTTCAAAAATTACACATGTTATTTGCCACATTCGTGCCAGCTCCCACAAGTCGCCGCACAAAGTAAATTGTTTTGAAATGTTCTTAATTTTGTGGTTCCCTAACAATAGAACGGACATACTATTTTAAGAATACTGAAGAACAGTAAAATCTCGTCCTTAATGACAATTTCATTTCAAAAAATTGTAGCCGCTTTGAAGAAAATGGCGCTTAAGCGCTACTTTAAATTTGAAATTTGAAGCTCTTTTTCACGGAAAATTTTTGAGTTTTCGAGAAACTTAATTAGAAATCACTTGAAGCACATGAATCCACAAATACAATGTATGTATGTATGTACTTGGCGCGACAGCCCGTGAACGGTTTCAGCGCTTCCGGCGACGTACCTGTCTCGCGGCCATGGGTTAAGGGGGTACGTGTGGTTAGCAAGTACTCATTCCCACGGCGTATTCCGGTCATCTCAAACTGAGAAGTGAATTTTCTCATCATCACACCAGAAATATACACTGGGACATTGCAAGGAAAACGCACACTATAGTCTTGACTCAACCGGGAATCGAACCCGGGGCCGCGTAGTGAAAGCGAACACGCTGGCCAAGATGAAAATAATACTGGTATAATTTTAAAGTAATTTAATTGATTGAAGGGACTACATGTCTACAATATCTACATTTTTACTCAAATAAATGGTCTGCATAATATATCATTGGGTTGATTGTGATATAAAACTTATTTATGCTTATTGTTTGGTGGATAATGACGGTGATATTATCCGATCGGAAGATTTTATTTTTAATGACACAAAGTCTAAAAAGCTTTTTAAAGTTTATTAAAGGTTTGGAATTGTTGATTACATTGTCTATACATCATGGAGTATAAACATGCAAAATGTCGTCCTTTTTATTGAAATGTTCTCCTTTCTCAAGTAAAATGTTCGCCATTGACAAACATGTTTCTGGGAACTCTGGCTTAAAGAAGACCTTCTGTGAATTCTTTATTCGGACCTGAAACTTAGACTTCGATCACAAATTCAGAATTTGTTATTTAGATGTGACAAATGCTTCTATTTGTGCTTCTTATTTGTTTGAGAAATGTAATCTCAGTGAAGAGGAAGATGACAAATACTCTTTATTTTGGAACAAATTAAATTACGTTCTATGCACAAGAAGAATAATTCTATTCTAGTTTGTTTTGACAGCTGCACACGTTCCATCGATCTGCAATCCCTTTCCCGACACAACGCAGTTCGCTTTCGTGGCCGACGAACTTGCCGCTGCTTGATGTCCAAGCCTACTGTGGAGTATAGGAGCGCTCCTAGTAGCGATTTTATTCAAATGCTCTCAAATTCAAATTGGATAAATTTCGTATGATGCTGTTTGCTTGACGACGAGTGGCAAATTCCAATCCTTCCATTCATACAGCAAATACTTGCTGCCGATCCTGGCAGTGCAAATATTTTATCCCACCGGAATCCGATCCTGGAATCTTGTTATCTAGTCAGATGCTAAAAAAGTCATTTCATTTAACTCATTTTCAGACTTCATGTCATTGGTCAAAACTTTGATTTCCGACAGTAATTTGAGTGGTTTTGAGCGTGGTCGATTATTTCTGAGTAGTTAATAAAACTCATTATTTTCTACGGAAGTCAATAAACTACTTTTGCGTAACCCAGGAACAACACCATGGACGTAGTAGTTTTCTGTTCCCTTCGAAGTGCTTCTTTTCAGTGAGTCCCCTTGCCTCTCTTATTCTTCGCATCATGTTTTCACGAGTAATAGGTGTTTCTTTATAAATGACAAATTTTAGGTAACCCCACAAAAAGAAATCTGGTGAGGTAAGTTCTGGTGATCTGGCTGGCCAGTGCACTGGTCCTTCTCTACCGATCCAAAGATTATTGTAATCCCGATCCAATACCTCCCGTGCTACTAATGAGTACTGTGCTGAGCAACCATCATGTTGAAACCACATGTTTTGTCGCACTTCCAAGCTTACGTCTTCGAGCATTCTCGGTAGTTCTTTATTCAGAAGGTTACGGTTCTTGTCACCATTTAGATTACCGTCAATAAAGTATGGTCCGATATGTTTATCGCTAATTATTCCACACCAAACGTTAACCGACCAAGGTTGCTGATGATTTACTTGGCGAATCCAGTGCGCGCTTTCTACACTCCAAAAATGCATGTTATGGCGGTTAACTTCACCGTAAATGTCGAATCATCAGTGAACAGTACTTGAGTATAAAAGTTCGGATTAGTTTGTATTCTCTGAACCGCCAATTGACAAAACTAGTCGGTTTTGAAAGTCATTGTCAGTTAATTCCTGATGCAACGATACATGATACGGATGAAATTTATATATCTTCAGTATCCTCCAAACACTCATACGAGGAATCCCTGATTGTTGAGATATTTCTCGAACACTTGCCTGTGGATTATAGCAACTGCAGCCAGTACTGATATTTGATTATTTTCTCCAGTAGCAGAAACTCTACGTGTTCTTTTCTTCGGTTATACACTTCC